TTTGGCAACAATAACCTCAACCAAACGTTTCCTGTAGTTGCAGATTAGACCTGCACAATTATCTGGAGTCATTTTGGACCACTCCTCTTCACAAAACTATTTCAGTGTAGCAATATTCTTGGGATGTCTGGTGTGAATCGCTCTCTTAAGGTCATGCCACAGCATTTCAATCGGGTTGAGGTCAGGACTCTGACTGGGCCACTTCAGAAGGCGTATTCTGTGCTGTTGCAGCCATTGTTTTGTTGAATTACTTGTATGCTTTGGGTCATTGTCCTGTTGCATCACCCATCCTCTGAGGAGCTTCAGTTGGTGGACAGATGGTCGTACGTTTTCCTGCAAAATGTCTTGATAAACTCTGGAATTCATTTTCCCATCAATGACAACAATCCGTCCAGGCCCTGAGGCAGCAAAGCAGCCCCAAACCATGATGCTCCCTCCGCCATGTTTTACAGTGGGGATGAAGTTTTGATGTTGGTGTGCTGTGCCTTTTTTTCTCCACACATAGTGTTGTGTGTTCTTCCCAAACAACTCAATCTTGGTTTCATCTGTCCACAGTATATTTTGCCAGTAGTGCTGTGGAACATCCAGGTGCTCTTTTGCAAACTTCAAACGTGCTGCAATATTCTTTTTGGACAGCAATGGCTTCCTCTGTGGTGTCCTCCCATGTACTCCATTCTTGTTTAATGTTTTCCTTATTGTAGATGTGTCAACAAAAATGTTAGCATGTGCCAGAGATTTCTGTAGGTCTTTAGCTGACACTCTGGGATTCTTCTTTACCTCATGCAGCATTCTGCGCTGTGCTCTTGCAGTCATTTTTACAGGACGACCACGCCTAGGGAGAGTAGCAACAGTGCTAAACTTTCTCCATTTGTAGACAGTCTGTCTTACCGTGGACACATGAACATCAAGGCTTTTGGAGATACTTTTGTAACCCTTTCCAGCTTCATGCAAATCAACAATTCTTGATCGTAGGTCTTCTGAGAGCTCTTTTCTGCGAGGCATGGTTCACATCAGACAGTGCTTCTTGAAAAAAGTAAACCCAAAACAGGTGTGTGTTTTTTAAGGGCAGGACAGCTGTCAGCAACACATGAAATATCATCACACTGATTGGAGTCAAGGTTGGCTCACTCCTGGCTCCAATTAGCTCTGGGAGAAGTCATTAAGCTAGGGCCCTCACACACTTTTTCCTCCCTGCACTGTGAATGTTTACATGTTATGTGCAATTAAACCATGGCAACATCTAATCTTTGTGTAGTATTATGTTTAGCAGACTGTGTTCTTCTATTGTTGTGACTTAGATGACGTTCAGAGCACATTTTATGCCCAATTCATGCAAAACTCCACGTAATCCCAAGGGGTTCACATACTTTTTCTTGCAACTGTATGCTTTTGGCAATATATTGTGTGTGTGTGTGTGTATATATATATATATATATATATTATATATACACACACACATATACACACACACTTATTAACACTAATATTGGGACAAAAGTATATAATATTTTACAAAAACCTAATAAAAAAAGAGTTTATATAGTTTTCCCCAGCTTCTTGATTATGTCTTGATTACGTTTGTAATATTTTTTCTCCACTTCATTAAACATTTCCTGTAAAATTGAAAAACATAATAAAGTAAGGTGCTTAGCTGGACATGGCTCTGAATTTACAGCTCGGCGCTATTCCACCATTCCCTGTCTAATGGTGATTCTTTCTAGGAGATGTCAAGGAATAATTTTGAGCAGTGCTATGACAGATAACAGAATAAAAAAAAGACTTTAAGGAAACATAAATGTTGCTTTACTTGGTATGGTAGATGTATGCAAGGCTATATAAGCACATTGCTAGTAAATAAGGGTAGCTTCAATTATAATTGGGCTTCCTGAGCAGTTGCACCCTCTGAACCCCTTGTAGGTATGCTATAGGCATCATTGCAGTTACCAGATCTCAAAGCTTTTCAGTATGTTTTAATACCACTGCTGGTATGCTACTAAACTCTGGTGCTTCAGCTTTATATAGAATGCAGCATTGTTGCTGGCATACAGGCTCTTCCTGTTTTATTTCTTTTTAAAACTGAACTGTACTGTGCAGCTCTTTGGAAAAATCAAAGTAGCTTTCTGTTGTACTGTTTTCTTTGCTTGGCATCTGAAGACAGTCAGAACATAGGAGTCATGACTTTATTTCAAAGTAAATATTTCCCATCTAACAAGAACAAAATAGAAGAGAACCCTTTGACCATGTAGGGAAACATATCTGATTATTTTACCCCTCAGTTCACTACCCCATTGCTTATTTCATTGTGGAGGGAAAGTGACCTACTCAGTACTCCTGGGTATAGGGGTGCAGGTGAATCACTCTGCTTCCTGATATGTGACAGTGCAGGTACTTGGCTATTGGCCACTCAGTTGTCAGTAACAGAGACAGGAAGAGAGTCCTCAGCTCTGTGTAAGTAAGATTTTGAAAATTATGTCATGTATTGTATTGTATTGTATTGTATTGTATTTTTGGATGACTACTGTACTGATGAAACAAACATCGTATGATCTGGTATCGTACGAGGACAATTTTTACGCTTGTCCCTTCAGTTACTGTTGCATGCACTGTATATTAATGACCAGATTATCATAGAAGTGCTTCTTGTGAAAACAACATTTTTCGTATGATTTTCTTATCGTGTGTATGAGCCTAGTTTTGTCCCCTTTGCTGATTTTTGTGTTTTTAATTATTTACATCTATGATTTAAAGTTATTTTAAAGATCCATTTATAATAATAAGCATGTCATACTTAACTACTCTGTGTAATGGTTTTGTACAGAGCAGCCCAAACCTCCTCTTCTGGGTTCCCCTGCTGGTGCTTCTGGCTCCACCTCCCTTCTGAGTACCCCCATAGCAAGGTGCTTGGTATGGGGGGACTCATGTGTGCTTCCTCCTGAGCCAGGCTATGTGTGTCCATTGACACACACAGCATGGCTTGACCTTTGTCCCATTCCCTCCTCACAGTATTTGATTGTTAGCAGCAGGAGCCAATGGCTTCCTCTGTTGTCTTTATGTCTCATGAGGAGAAGGAAAGAAAGAGCAACACTGCTGCTCATGGGCACAATGCTGGATTGAGACTGAGTTCAAGTAAGTGTCTGGGGGGGGGGGGGGGAGAAACTGGGAGGGGAAAGATCCGATCACAGAAGGTTGTTTTACCTTAATGCAGAGAATGCTTTAAAGTTCAATACCTTCTGCCTTTACAACCATTTTACCGTAAACCTGCTGCATTGCTCTACATAGACTAACCAGGTTTACCTAAATCCACACATTATAGTAAATATTGACATTTATACAATGTTCCATGCACTGACCTGCAGTGTTATGCACAGTATGCTACAAAAATCAAACAAATATATGGCCGGCTCAAGCTGTCTCATGAGTGTCCAAAACTCATTAAGAAATTTTGTTAGCCATGCATCCAGGGTCATATGTAAAACAGAAAAAAAAAAGTATAAAGTATACAATATACCATGCATATGTCACTGCTATAATGCTTTGGAGGCACGGGGCGGGAACGTTCAGAATGTTGCAGGAACCTAAATAGTGAATCTGTCCTTGGCTGCCCTCAGATTAGTTATTACATCGTCTTTCTAATATATAGGACAATATTTTTTATTATTAAACTGACAATTGGCCACTGGGACTGAAGAAGAACAATCACTTTAATGCCCACGGCGGATGAGCTATACATAATCATACACAAGGATGTTGGGAATTGCAGTGCACATTAGCTGTGGCTGCAGTTGGCTGAGGGAGCCATACAAAGAAGGGCTACACCTTTAATTAGGGCAAGTGAGGGTCATTAGGCAACGGAATTGGGTGAGTAGCAATAGCAGCCTGTAATGAGTCATCTTTGCTGTAGGTAAATTTGGTTTAGAAAATACAAGTCTGGGTATACTGTTGTTATACAGTACAATCAGAGGCTGGTAAGAAATAAAAATCTGCACATTGGAACATGTCATCTTTTGTTAGAGCTAAACAATGATTTACTCTAGAGAAACATTTTCAGCAGAAAAGCTGTTTACTACATATTTTCCTATTCAGCTGCAGTGCATGTGAGCAGCCTGGCAGAAAGCATTGACCGCGCTGATATTCTTGTAGCACTGGGACCAACGGGCAGCAAATCTCCTTCTGTGGTGACCAAGTGGATTGGTAACACTTGATGCGACAAGTGACTTGCTAACTCAGGCTTGAAGAAAGCAGAAGAGTGAAGTAGCTAAGCAGATTGCATCTCTATGTAAACCTAACGGAAAAAGATTCAAGCAGATGCTTATTTTACTGAATTCTATAGATTCAAAGACCTAACGTTCTGAACCAAAATTAATATCAATACACTTTCATTGTTAGTGGAAAAACAATACACATTTCTAACAAACAATCCATACATAGAGATATACTTAGGTTAAGCACAGTAAATATTGTAGTACCAGTCGCTATATATTAGGGATGCATAACCTAGCTTCTGACGCAGAACCTTGCATAGGTTTGAACAGATCATTATAAAATCCAAGCTTAACCACTTGCCCTCCAGAGGATTTACCCCCCTTCCTGACCAGGCCATTTTCTGTGTTATGGCGCTGCGTTACTTTAACTGACAATTTCGCGATCATGCAGCGCTGCACCCAAATGAAATTTACGTCCTTTTTTTCCCACAAATTGAGTTTTCTTTCGGTGGTATTTGATCGCCTGTGCATTTATTTTTGCGCTATAAAAATAAAAGACCAACAATTGTGAGAAAAAAGCAATATTTTTGACTTTTTGCTATTAAACATGTTCAGTAGAAAAAATCAAAAAATCAAATTTCATTATAAATTTAGGCCAAAATGTATTCAGCTACATGTCTTTGCTAAAAAAAAAACCTCAATATGTGTAAATTGGTTTACGTGAAAGTTATAGCGTTTATAAATGGCAGTATAGATACTGGAATTTTTTTTTTACTAGTAATGGTGGTGATCAGCAGCTTATAGCAGGACTGTGGCGGGCATTCTGACACTGGGGGGAACTGACTTGGTGTCATTGACATTCCCAGTGACACCAATACAGTGATCAGTGCTACAAAAAAGCACTGACACTGTACTAATGGCACTGGGCAGGAAGGGGTTAACATGAAGAACGATCAAAGGGTTAACTGTGTGCTGGGAGTGTTTTGATAGGGGGCTGTGTCCGTGTGCTTGACTGTAAGCACAATGCTTTAGATGGCTGTGCTGTGCAAAGCAGTGTGCCTGAGCTGACATGGAGGAGAAATGTTAGTAAACAAATCAGTCCTCCTCTCGTCGGAGATGCTCGGTAATCATCAGCCGGAACCTGGTGATTGACAGCTGCGGCCGCAAATAGCGCAGCGGGTAGGGCGCGCATGTGGCTTGCACGCACTGTCTACCCAGAAATGCAAAATCACTTGTATATATACGTGATTGTGTGCACCCATGCCACCCTACAGCAGTATTTCTGCTATAGGGCAGTCGGGAAGCAGTTAAAGCAAATATGTGCTTTTCTCACACAGACTAAAGTAACTGGTTTGCTTTGATCCACCACTCCTCTCCAGCATCTTTTTTACTTTTCCTTTGCATAACCAGGAAGGTAGCATCAATGTACAACAAAATAGATCTGTAGCTTCCCACCACAAGTCCACCCATTGGCCAGTGAAAGCTCATTAATAAATATACTCACACCCCCATATACACGGCTCAAAAAAATTAAAGGAACATTTTTTAATCAGACTATGGCTTCAAGTCAATTAAACTCCTGGGATATTTATCTGGTCAATTAAGTAGCAGAGGGGGTTGTTAATCAGTTTCAGCTGCATTGGTGTTAATGAAATTAACAACAGGTGCACTAGATGGGAAACAATGAGCCGACCCCCAAAACAGGAATGGATTTAGAGGTAGAGGCCACTGACAGTTCTTTTTCTCTACTCATCTTTTCTGACTGTTTTCACCATTTTTACATTTGGCTAGGGTCAGTGTGACTACTGGTAGCATGAGGCGATACCAGAACCCAACATAGGTTGCACAGGCAATCCAACTCCTCCAGGATGGCACATCAATACGTGCCATTGCCAGAAGGTCTCAAGAGGTCTCAAGAGCATGGAGGAGATTACAGGAGACAGTCAGTTACTCTAGGAGAGCTGGACAGGGCAGTAGAAGGTCTTTAACCCATAAGCAGGACCAGTATCTGCTCCTTTGTGCAAGGGGGAACAGGATGAGCACTGCCAGAGCCTTACAAAATGACCTCCAGCAGGCCACTGGTGTGAATGTCTCTGAACAAACAATCCAAAACAGATTTCATGAGGGTGGCCTGAGGGCCCTACGTCCTCTAGTGAGCCCAATGTTCACCATAGAGTTCGATTGGCATTTGAACACAGGAATTGGCAGGTCTACCAGTGGCGCCCTGTGCTTTTCACAGATGAGAGCAGGTTCAAAGTGAGCACATGTGACAGACGTGAAAAGGTCCTGAGAAGTCAAGGGAGAACGTTATGCTGCCTGTAACATTGTTCAGCATGACTGTTTTGGTGGTGGGTCAGTGATGGTTTGGGGAGGCATATTCATGGAAGGACACAGAGACCTCTACAAGCTAGACAATGTCACCCTGACTACCATTAGGTATCAGCATGAAATGCGCAGTGGGTCCTGGGTTTCTCCTTGTGCACGACAATGCCCGGTCTCATGTGGCTAGAGTATGGAGGATGAAGAAACTGATACCACTGAATGACCCCCATGCTCACCTAACCTATATCCAATAGAACACCTCTGGGATAAAATGTTTCGGTCCATCCGACAATGCCAGGCTGCAGTTCAGACTGTCCAGGATGCCTGACACATCCCTGATACCCTGGTCCAGATCTGGGAGGAAATACCCCGGGACACGTTGTCAGGCATGCCTACAAAGCACTTGGGGGCCATACAAACTACTGAGTACCATTTTGAGTTGCTGCAATGAATTTCAACAAAATGAACTAGCCTGCTGTATAATTTTTTCACTTTGATTTTCAGGGTGTCTTTGAATTTAGTCCTCTGTAGGTTGATCATTTTCATTTCCATCAAATAATGGGGTATCCTTACATTCCTAACACATTAACCAATCCATTTCAGTATAGATATCCAGCATGATATTTTTCCCTATTGAGATCTGATGTGTTTTCAAAGTGTTCCTTTAATTTTATTGAGCAGTGTATATATGAATACACCCCACAACAAAAACTACTACATCTACACACTGTTCCAAATTATTATGCAAATGATATTTTTCTCATTTACCTAAATAATTGATGTAAATAACAGTCAGCATAATTCTCATGTTATTATCAACTATTAAGAGTACAATTCAAATTTTATTGAACAAACCTCCTAATGATAACAGTATTTTTTTTAAACATAACAAACTTACAATGCACTGTTCCAAATTATTACGCACAGTAAGTTTCAAACACTTTCTAGGTTGTAGAGAACTGAAAATTGTCATTTGTTGTGTTTGCAGCATATTTACTGAAATCAAAAGCTATTTCAATCAAACTTTTAACAGCATTTTAACTTTTTTAAACATTTTAACAGGTCACGTTACATTTTAACATAGGAACCCTTATTTGATAGCAGCTTCACAAGTCTTGCATCCATTGAACTTGTGAGTTTTTGGACAGTTTCTGCTTGAATTTCTTTGCAAGATGTCAGAATAGCCTCCCAGAGCTGCTGTTTGGATGTAAACTGCCTCCCACCCTCATAGATCTTTTGCTTGAGGATGCTCCAAAGGTTCTCAATAGGATTGAGGTCAGGGGAGGATGGAGGCCACATCATGACTTTCTCTCCTTTTATCCCCATAGCAGCCATTGATGCAGATGTATTCTGTGCAGCATGAGATGGTGCATTGTCATGCATGAAGATGATTTTATTACGGAAAGCATAGTTCTTCCTTCTGTACCAGGGAAGAAAGTGGTCAGTCATAAACTCCACATACTTTGCAGAGGTCAACTTCACACCTTCGGGGACCCTAAAGGGGCTGACCAGCTCTGTTCCCATAATTCCAGCCCAAAACATGACTCCACCACCGCCTTGCTGACGTCACAGCCTTGTTGGAACAGGGTGGCTGTCCACCAACCATCCACTACTCCATCCATCTGGACCATCCAGGGTTGCACGGCACTCATCAGTGAACAGGACTGTTTGAAAATTAGTCTTCATGTATTTTTCTGCCCAATGCAGCCGTTTCTGTTTGTGAGCATTGGTTAGTGGTGGACGAATAGAAGGTTTATACACAGTTGCAAGACTCTGGAGGTCTCTACACCTTGATGTCCCTGGGACTCCAGAGGCCCCAGCAGCTTCAAATATCTGTTTGCTGCTATGTAATGGTATTTTAGCAGCTGCTTTCTTGATCTGATGCATGGATCTGGCAGAAATCTTCCTCAATGTGCCTTTATCTGCACAAACCCGTCTGTGCTCTGAATCAGCCACAAATCTCTTAATAGTGCGATGATCACGCTTAAGCAACGGAACCCCTCCATTTTCTTCCTGCAGCAGCTGAAAGCTTGCTTCTCCTCCTCTCCCTCCTGCAGGCAATCAGCGGATGCAGGAAGAAAATGGACGGAATCAGTTCTTCTATATGCTGCCCCCGCTGCCCCTCCTGTCCAGGTTACCTAAGATCTGCTGTCCCTGGCCCCCTGTGTGTTCCCCTGGCCCCCCTCATACCCCCGTAGTTGTGCAGGCTTCCCTCCTCTCCCCCTGGCTGCTGCGGGGGATGTGTCAGGATGGAGAGCAGGGAAGGGGCCTTCCTTTCTTGAATGGACAGAGTCAGTGATCCGTAACGAACAATTACTCTGTTCATTCATAACTTAAGTATAATAAACTGTTTACTATGCTTCAGTTTATGAATGAAAGGGAAACTACAGAGCTATTCCTATGCATTCATTCTTACTAGCTGAGGCTGCAGAGATGGATATTGAGGGCTTTGTCCTCAATCTGCTTTCTCTGCCTCAAGGATGAAACATCATAGATCTATTTAGACTCTTGATAACCCACCAAAGCTCCCCAACAGGGATCCTAAAAGAAATGCAAAATATAATAAAAATAAAATTGTAAAAAAAAACAACAAAAACTACTGACCTCGTCCACTGCCCTACTGACAAAGTTCACTGCCATACAGACACTATCCACTGCCCTACTGACCATGTCCACTGCATTACTGACAATGTCCTCTACCATACTGACACCATTCACTGCTCTATTGACTGACAACCAGGGGCGGACTGACCATTCGGGCAGTCGGGCACTGCCACATTACCACAGTTAGCATGGAGGTGCCTGGGACCCGAAGACTGGTGACAAACTGGCCCAGGTGAGCACAAGTACTGGATTCCTGGACAGGTAGGTGTCTTTTTTATTAAAAGCCAACATCTAAATTATATGTAGCTTCTGGCTTTGTTTTTTAACCTGACTGGGAGATGCAAAATTAACCCGCTTCTTCCCCCTGTATTGGTCAGTCCTGCCTGCTGAGCAGGTTGGATCCCATATAAATCCCATATCAATTATCCAAATTCTGACCTGGCATACTGCAGAATAATACATAACAGATTAAGAAAAAATGCACAAACATGTACTCTTCCCAGCAATGTCTCTGTGAGAAATATAGGTATCTTAGCATAGTCTCTATAAGACTCTATGGCAACAGAGATTCTGGCTGAGAATCACAACTTCTGGGAAACATTTTGGAATATAAACAGCTACTTGTGCTTATCCTCATAAACAACATCCTTCTCAGTGAAGTTTATGGAAGCTTTGGTAACAGCTGGAGGGATCTCTGGACTTTCTTCCTCATATACACATGGGTACTCTTTCTGGATGCTCTCCTTCTCTCAACTACACATGGGCACTCTCACTGGATTTTTCTCACACACACATGGGCACTCTCACTGTGTCAGGAATGGACTCACCATTAGTGGTGGGACTCATCTGCCGTGTGGGCTGCAGTACCAGGGCTGGCCAGCGGGTGCTCTCAGCAACCAGAAGCTCACTCCTGCAGTCAGCCATCACCTGAGGCTGATTGCAGGAGGTGTATTTAAGGAATGGCCAGACTTGCAGTCAGTGCCTTGATGTATGTTTCCCATGAGCCCCTGTACCTGCATCCTGTCTGCTTCCTGCCTGATTCCTGATTCTGCTTTGATCCTGACTCTGAATGAACTCCGCCTGTTCTGACTGCGGCTATTCCTGACCACTCTCCAGCCTGCTCCTTTGGTACCTTGTCTGCCTGATTGTTCCTGACCCGGCCCGTCTGACTACGCTCTGCCTGCTCCTTTGTGTCTTGTCTGCTCGATGGTTCCTGACCCGGCCTGCCTGACAACTCCACCTCACCAGCCCTGACTGCTCTTGTCTGTGTACATTCCGTTATCAGTTGGAGGTTTGGTTTTGTTA